GAATCGCGCAAACTTGGTGGCGTTAGAAAGATCATTCCAAGATATTTCCAATCATGTCTGGAAGTACACCTAAATCATCCTGAGCTAGGAGTTATGGCCATTTGAAGTTGACCAAAACTCAACTTTTCCTAACTTAAACAAATTTCCAGATTTTCACTCTTTCCAAAAATGACTATTTCCAATTATTAGCTTCTTCCTAGTTATTTCAAATTGTGAGATGTTACAGTTTTGTTCTCATCACCTACATCAGATGTATGCAAGTTGAAGCGGTCTTTATATGGATTAAAACAAGCTCCAAGAGCTTGGTTTGACAAGTTTTGGTCTACTTTGCTTCAATTCTCTTTTGAGCAGAGCAAATATGATTCGTCTTTGTTTCCTCGAAAAACATCTTCAGGTTGTGTTCTTCTTTTGGTGTATGCAGATGACATTATTATCACATGAACTGATTCTTCACTGATCACTAGCTTCCAGCAGCAGCTTAAGGATTCTTTTCATATGAAAGATCTTGGTACTCTTACATACTTTTTGGGGTTAGAAGTTCACTATAATTCTTTAGGTGTGTTCTTGAACCAACACAAATATACTCAGGACTTGATTTCTTTGGCTGGTCTTTAAGAATCTTCCTCTGTAAATACTCCATTGGAATTGAATGTAAAGTACTGTCGTGCGGAAGGAGATCTTCTTTCTGATCCAACTTTGTAGCGGCAATTAGTTGGGAGCCTAAATTATCTTACTATTACTCGGCCTGATATCTCTTTTGCAGTTCAACAAATGAGTCAATTTATGCAGGCTCCACGCCATCTACATATTGTGGCTGTCCGTCACATCATTCGATCTCTTGGGAACATCTACTCATGGATTATTCTTTCCTAGTGGTTCTGAGATTCAGCTTAATGAATTTAGTGATTCTGATTGTGCTGGATGTCCTGATACTCGTCGCTCCGTCACGGGTTGGTGCATGTTTCTTGGAGATTCCTTGATTTCTTGGAAGAGCAAGAAGCAAGACCGTGTATCAAAATCTTCCACCGAATCTGAATATCGAGCAATGTCTACTGCTTGCTCTGAGATTTTTTGGCTTCATGGTTTACTTGCAGAAATTGGATTTCCTCAATCTAATCCCACTCCTCTCCATGCTGACAACACAAGTGCTATTCAAATTGCTACTAATCCAGTTTATCATGAATGGACCAAACACATTGAAGTGGACTGTCATTATATCAGAGAAGCTGTAGATAAGAGAGTCATTACTCTTCCACATGTATCCAATGATCTTCAAATAGCTAATGTGTTTACAAAGTCTATGGCACGACAACATCATCAGTTTCTGATAGGCAAATTGATGCGTTTTGATCCACCGGCATCAATTTAAGGGGGGATGTTAGCATGATTGGACAATTCAATAAAAAAATGATATATCCAAACTGAAATTTTCATGTCCAATTTGAATGGCACAAACACCCAACTCCCACTCCTACCTGAAATCGAATTACCTAATTGTTGTGCCGGATTGAGCTTTGAAAGTCGGGTATTTGTTATTTAGTTTTAGTTATTAAAATTGAATTTTAGAAATATCAAACCGAATATCAAATGTCATCCTTAAAATCCGGTGTCTGCCTTTTGTCTGTGGTAACAATTGTCATATCATATGATTCAGCAAAATTGACAGTATTCACTAAGCATATCATAGCTAATTGATATAATTGAATTCACCAAGAACTCAAGTTTGAAACTTTGACTATTTATTTACTTTTAGGATGTGTTCGGTACAAAAGAAGGTATTTTTAATTGAATAAAAAGAAAAATCATTTAAATTTTTAAATTTAAAATAATCAAATAAATTTGAATTCTTAAAGTAAATTCCATAAAGTATCAAAATATGAAATATAAATTGTAGAATATTTTCAAAATAAATAAAATATAACATAAGAAAGTAAAAAAAAAAAAAAAAAAGTACACTTGGTCAGTTGGGTGTGTTAGTTTGTTTTATCAAGTACTTGGGAGTGTAAATTCGCGCCTGTTTTAGTTATAACAGTTTTCTTCTTCCATTTAAAAGTGAAAATTCTCTCATTCTCATAATTCTCTCAGGTAATTTTCCCTTTTCTTTTCCAGCTGTCACTGTAAATTCGATTTCGATACAATTGAAGTTGATTTTATAGGTATATTTGGTTCAGATAACCGTCTGATCATCGATTTGGTAGCTAAATTACTCTCTTGTTGAGCAAGAAAATTGTTCATTTTGTTTTGCTACTGTGATTGTCTTGCGATGTTAAATATCCTTGTATTTATGGACTTGTAATTGATCAAGCATTTGATGTGATTCCTCTGTACTTTTTGCTGAGCGATTTTAGTCTCTGTGAAAGTTTTCCTTGTTTGATTTTAGTGTTTAAGTGGTCGGATTTTGATTCATCTTGAGCTGTATCATATGCATTTAGCTGATGTGAATTTGGGCATGCTTTGTTGGATTGATATTTGTGGTCTCGTTCGTACTTATTATTTTGACTGTTTAATTCGTGTGCTTTGTCTAGCTTGATTATAGTAGTAGCTCTATTTTTCATTTACACTGATGATTTAGTTCTGTCCATATGGATTTTTCAGGATGTGGGAAAAGAAAAAACACATACCTTCCCACATAGTAATTCAGCACCGGCATCACCATTCCAGCCAAAAAATGGTTCAACTTTTAGAAACCTGCCAAGAGATCAACTAGGCGGTGTTATATTTGGGTGCAGCAATGATACAATAAGAGAGTGTCTCGAAAAGCAACTAGTAGGTCAGTTATTCGGCCCTAATATATTGTCCTTTGATAAAAAAAAATAAAATAGGACAATGGGTCGTTGTTACTCAATTATATACATTTAAAATCTTTGACAGGTTTGCCTAGCGCACACTTTATATATGTGAAAAATGTAAATCCTGGTTTGCCAGTGTTCTTGTTCAACTACGACGATAAGAAGCTCCCCGGAATCTTTGAGGCTGCAAGCTCTGGTCAAATGCTAATCAATCCATATGCTTGGAAAAAAGATGGCGATGAAAGAACACGATTTCCTGCACAGGTTTCATATCATTGGTTTCTTTTTGGCTTTATCTGCTTTTGTTGATGCACGCCGGTGTTATATTCTAGGAAGGATTATTCTACTGAAACTTCACTTTTTCTTTTGAAGGTTCAGATACGTGTCCGTCTGCATTGTGTACCACTGCAAGAAGATATGTTTAGACCAATAATTAAGGATAACTATTTTCAGCAGTATCGTTTCTGGTTTGAGCTAGATCATACTCAATCTAGTAAATTGATCTCGCAACTCTCATCTCTTGCATATGCTCCGAGTAGCACACCACATTATCCAGCACTCCGGAGAAGTATAATCCAAACTTCACCTGCAAATAACAAGATAGAAGAAAATAGATCTTCTGAACCACAAAACTTGGAAAATAAGCAATCCAGTTCCATTGATTCTCAAGCTGCATTGGAAGAGAAGAGTTTTATATACATGAAACTTAAAGAAATAGCTCTTGATCGTGAATGGCCAGCGCTCTCCAGAAACGGGCATGCAGAGGAAAACACCAATGAAGGGATAAGTTATAATGATGTAAGCATTGATCAAGCAGGTTTTATGGAACCACAGCCTCCTGGAGAAGAGAAGAATGATGAAGGCAATTGTGACTTGGCTGGTTATCCTCCTTTTGTAGCTCAGGTTCTTCATCTTCTTGTAATCTGTGCCAATTTTCATTAACCATGATAGCATTTCTGATATCTTATATGACTTCATTATCTCTATTGTTGCAGCTGCTGAAAGAAGTGAAAGAACTGAATGCTTTTAAGGAACAGCACACCCAAAAAATGACTGGCCTGGAGAAGAAGCTGGTAAACCTTATCTCTGTATAATGTCAGTCTTATGGTGACATATCAATTCTATGCTAAAACAATGGAAGAGTGACAATTTTTTTTAAAATTTCCTCGTCTTTATATATATGTTGGGAGGGGGACTGGGGAGGGTAGAAAGAGCGTGTTGGAATAAGATCTGCAAACAAAAATAGGATCTTTTAGTACCAAGATATCAATAGATGATAAAAAGTAATTTTGTAACAAAATTAGGACTATCAGAGCTTATTAGTAGGTAGTCATCGAACAAGATAAACAAATTCAGAAAGGAGCTTGAGATTCTGCTTCTTCTTTTAAAGTAGATGAAATCATGATAATAATTAAGCCATAGAATTTGGTGACTTCAAGATTCAGGATGATATACCAAAGAAATGTTAGTATGATTTCTAAAAGAGGAAATAATAAGATTATTATCATATAATTTCAGGTATATAACTTGACAGGGAAAACTATTATTGAACATTAGTTGCTATTTACTGTACAAAGAGTTAATAAACAAACTAATAGAAATTGACTATTTATAGGAGAGATTATCCGCTTTATCCGAGGGATAGGGCTGATCTGTGTGGAGGTGGCTTTTCTGAACATTCTTTTATTGTTCAGGGAGGGGATTATTATTATAAATATACATCTTTTACAGTAAGGAAAGCATCTTAGCTCATATTGAGTTTCATGTTTAAAAGACTCTTATTGGTGTTGGGGAAATGGAATGCTGCCCAGAAGTCTGTGCAATCTGTTCACAAGAGTGATTATTCATTTTATTTTCGGAGACTCTTCAGGGTTGGGTATAAGTTTGCTTATGCAAATATTGTTTCTTATTGTTTAGGGGAATATCTCTTTAATCAATATCGTACTTGGTAGAAGTCTCTGCATCCTATACAGACCTTTCCATGTTTAGGACACTCTTATTGTTGTTTGGGGGGAATCAGAAAATGTCCCTTGAGAAGTTTTACAAATCCAATTGCACAACCTTTTGAAAATGACCAAAAGGGAAACACCTTAGGTTCTTGATTATAAGGCTTTATCAAATTGAAAAATAGATGTATGTATCAGTGATAATTGATGATTGTATTCTTACGCCGATTTCAAGGGTTTCAATAATCATCCAATTTGATGCTTCATATTGTGTCTGTTCTCTTTCTAAATGATTTACTGATTTTTGTATTCTCCATACCTACCTGAATACATGATGTGTCTGCAGAAGTGAAAATCTGATGTTTTCCCCCTTTGTTATTTCCTTGTCTACACATGGAATTCAGGCTAATTTACAAGAAGAAATCAAACTGCTAAAAGCTAGATGTTTGATGTTGGAGTCCACAAATCCCTCTCGTACACATGATAGTGAAAATGTGGTAGAGTCAGACGAAATAGTCTGTGATGAGTCAATCATCCTAGCTGGAGGATTTGATGGTAATAACTGGCTATCGGCCTTGGACTTGTACTCACCATTGACTGATAATTTAAAGCCACTTAGGCCAATGAGTTCATTTCGGTCGTATTTTGCAATTGCAAATCTGAGTAGAGAAGTCTATGTATTTGGTGGAAAATTTGGGAAGTTCTGGGACAAAACAGGTAATGCCAGTAGTCCCTCCCTTCACATACCCTCCTCCCCCTTTCTCTTAAGTTGCTGAAACTGATGCCACTCTATTCTTGTGAAGTTGAATCATATAACCCAGCCAATGATATGTGGACTGTGCATTCTAATTTGAAAAAGAGAAACAGTAACTTATCTGGAGCTACTCTGAAGGACAAGATATTTGCAATGGGTGGTGGAAATGGGACTGAATACTTTGCAGAAGTTGAAATGTATGATCCTCAAGTAGGTCAATGGATTCCTTCACGATCCATGTGGCAGAAGGTTAATTCTCTTCCTTGCTTACATTTCGATAGTGATATTTTGAAGAAGGCTCAGGGCCGTCTCAACCATAAGGCCACTAAAGCAATCGCTTGAGGCCCCAATTTTTTTGGGGCCCCCATTTGAGGCCCCAATTTTTTGGGGCCCCCATTTTCTCCCAAAGATATATATATATATTGTTAAAAAAAAATTCATGTATTGATAAATCTGAAAATAATTTTTTGTATAGAAAATATAATTGAGAAACTGAATATTGTTTATGATTGTAGTATCTTTTCTAGATTATTATGTGGCTAGTTAATTGTAGTATCTTTTCTAGTTTCGCATGTAGCTATCTATTTTGTTGTCTAGTTCATTTATATTTTGACGATTATCATGAATCAAAAGTATTGTGTTCTTATACTTACTTTTCTTTATTCTCCTCTCACTATTTTTTTATTCTTTCATTATTGAATATTCTTAAGTCTCTCAAATGTTCAATCATTCTACATTATGTAATATCTATTGTTATGTGTTTATTAAAAGATCAAATTTATTTTTGGTGTCTTATTCAAATTTCAAGCACTAAAACTAATCAACACTATTTTAATATTATTTATTAACTTATCAAATTCATCGCTACACTATTTTAATATCATCATATTTTTAAAATTTGAGTCATGTTTTATTATTCCAACTTTATATTAATATAATTGTCATTGAAAATTTACATTATTTGCATTCTTACTTCATAATGTCTACATATATCTTGCCTCTCCAAACTTTATTTGTAGAATTACACTGAGTATGTTATAATTATTCAATTTATATTTGTCAACTAAAAAAAATAGGACCTCTTTATAATGTTTGGCTTTAGGCCCCCAAACTTGTTGAGACGGCCCTGAGAAGGCTCATCTGCATTACCCTTGGATGTTGTTCTCATCCTCTTAATTTCGGTAGTAAGTTTTTATGGGGTCGTTTATCTTCATGTTTTCCATGGATTTTCTGTTGTCTCTTCTTTCAGTTCAATCCCTTAGTAGCATTCAGGTAGTATGAAGAAATACACAAGGGAGAAGACCTTAAAGCGTAGAGGGAAATAATTAGTTAGAATTGCAAAATGAAATGATGTATTGTTTAGCCATATTTTACTACAGTGGCTGAGTGAATTCATCTCATTACTAGCAAACAAAGACAATATTTGTCTCTTTCTTGTCCTTGCCTACAGTCCAGTCTTCAATTTAGTTCTATTCTTTAGACTTACTTGTTCAAAGTGCAAATATAATCTCCTCTGACATGATTGTCTACCATTCATGCAGCGACTTTCTCTTGCAGCAACAGAACTCAATGGTGCATTATATGCTGTTGGTGGATTTGATGGAGACAAATATTTGGCGTAAGTTATTTCTGAATTTCTGTTTTCTTATTTCTTTATAATGTGTGCCCCAAAAAAGCTTGACATTTGGGCTTCATTACCTGAGAAATGAGAGTTGCTTGTAGTTTTCCAAACCGCAGTCCTTTTTAGTGCTAAAGTTGTTCTGATAGAAATCTGCAACTTCTTTTATTTCATTGAATCGGAAGATTATCTTCACATGTGAAAGTAGTTGAGTCTTGTTTTTCAGTTTTCTGCTGTGTTCTCCTGTAGCATCTTTCTTATTAGCTATCACCTCAGGACTGCTGAAAGGTTTGACCCCAGAGAACATGCTTGGACAAAAATTGAGAGTATGAGCACAAAAAGAGCATATCATGCGTTGGTTCCTTTGGGGGGGAAGTTGTATGTTGACCTCTTCTCTCTTCTTTGCATTCTATATCTTTGGTCCCATGTTTTATCTTCGAGAGTACGAGATGTGTATTGTCTAAAGAATCACTAGGGGGGAGGGGGATGGTCCATGACCTGTCCCATTTTTCTTCTTGTTATTCACTTTTAGTTTCATGGTTGCTCTTTAGATATGCACTTGGTGGCTCTGATGGGTCTCAAATGATGCCAAGCGTTGAGATATATGATCCCCGTCGGGGAACATGGATGATTGGGGAACCAATGAACTACTCAAGGGGTTATGTAACTGCTTCTGCTCTAAAGGAGTCCATTTATGTCATTGGAGGGGCTCAATCTGATAATGAAGTACTAGACACGGTACATAATATTATTTATTTCATTGTCTTGCTATGCATAGCTTCCATTACATATGTGGTTCCATTAATCAATACTCCTCTTTGTGATTGCAGATTGAACGTTACAAGGAAGGCACAGGTTGGGAAATAACCAACTTGAGCGGAGTCGGGAAAAGGTGCTTGTCCTCTGCTATAGTTTTGGAGGAAGATTGAAATCTGCATTCTTAAGTACTCAAGCTCTCTATTCTTATGGGCATCCTTTGTTCAATATCTGTTGTTTTTCCATAATGAATAGACTTAATGCTTGAAAGCATCTTAAACATTCCGTGACTTTTTCCTCCGTATAAGAAAACAGAAAATGGTCAAGCTTTTTATAACCAATGTATGGTTATAGCTTTGTAGTAGTAGTATGGCTGTATTTCAGACAGTTCTCTGCAGCTTCTTTCTGAGGCAAAACTTGTTCACAATACTTTATTGTTTTTTCATCATTAAACTTGCTGCCTATCATAAAATCAGGGTAAAGCATCGAGCTTTAGGAGGATTTTGGTGATCAAATACGTAGTCATTTCTATTATCTTTATAATTGTTATCTCCTGTATTCAGATTAGCAAACCAGA